AATGTTTGATAAATTTAGCAATGAGAGGATAGGGAAGAGGAAATATAGTTCTTTTCTTGTCTAGTTTATAAGAGGAGAAGAAAAATTTTAAAAATCAATTTAATTTTGTATTTTTATAGCTTTTAAATTAAAATCAAAAGTAATGATATTTTAGATAGAAAAATGATAGATCGTCCGAAACAATGTCCCAAAAATCATTAAAAATTAATTTAAATTATAAAATATTACATTAAATAATTATTTTATAATAAATTTATTAAAAGATATCAATATTTTAATGTTTCGGAGGATGATTTGGAGTCTATCTCGGATGATATAACAATCCTTTCTCCTTGGAAGAGTTTTGCTCCCCTCTATTTTCTTCTCCTATCTTTCTAAAAATTGAATCAGACAATTTTCCTTTTTATAAAAATTCCTCCCTTCATTCTACACCAACCAAACTCTAAGTAAAAGTGTGCATAGTGCTAAGCATTAAGCGTGATAGAATTTCAGCTATATGTGGCATAACGAGTACTTCCTCACTTCACAGATACCTTGGCAAAAAAAATATGGGATCTGGCAGTATATACTATTATACTATTAAAATTTGGCTAATGGTCCATTACATGTTAATCTGCATGACTCTTTCTACATTAGGAGACACACCTTCTTATTCGAGTCGTCGCGGTCTGGGTTTTGGGTTTAGGTCTTCTCGTTTCGCTCTAGGTAGTCCGAAGAAAGGGAGGTGCCTACAAAGACACTCCAACGCTCAAGTAAATGATCGGCGTAATAAATGCGATAGTTCAAGTTAGTTACTGTGAGACCCGTAGCTGGTATACACCTCCTTCCCTCCCAACTCTCACCCATTTTCCCTTTTCACTCTCTTGCTCACTCCTTCCCTTTTGATCTTTCTTTGGCTGTACAAGGTGATTGTGTAACGTCTAAAATATAAAAAAAAAAATTTAACCTTAATTTTATTTATTTATATATTGTTTTGGATTGAAACCACAAGTAAGTAAGTAAAAGAAAAGTATTAAACTTACATCCACTTATCCTAAGATTTTTGTAAAAATATATACAGAAATCTAAACCACTCAAATTTTACATTATTATTTTCAATATTCCGATACATCTCATTTTAGTATTATGAGAGTACTTACCTTACATATAGCTTTTTATATTTGCATCATATCAAAAAAATATTTACAATAACGTACATTCTTATAATCTACCAATTACCTATACTATATATACTATATTTACATATCCGGTTGATATAAGTTTACTATAGGGTTGACATGGTTGGTTGGAGGAAGATAAAAAGTAACAACTATCTGGTCATCTATAACTACGGGATGTTGCTGTGTTGGTGAAAAATAAAAAGACGACAATCCTATTCCTTGAAATGTCACCGCGTTGGCAGTTGCGTCCACAACCCAACTAGTGCATGGGAAGACTGCAGTGATAACGGTAGTAAAAGGGCCAGGAAGGATTGGCAAGTCCATCTATTATAATATATTAAATTTTTCACAAACAAGAAATAAGGAGTGAGAACACTTATTAAATAAATATATTTAATTAAATAAAGAACAAGATTATATATAATAAGATAAAAATTAAATAATAAAATTTGAATCATTTTAATAGTGACTAGTCAGGATAAATGAGCATTATTGTAGTATCAACCAAATGTCAACAGAATATTTTACCATGAATAATTACTCATTTAAATCCCCAAGGTCAAACCTCCAACTGCAAATAATTCAAACTTTATCTTCTATGGCCATAGAACAATATTTATCTTTAAAATGAGTCAAAGACAAAATTAAATCAATCATAAAAATAATCACGCTAAATAAATTTGAGAATTTATCATTATTTAAACTTTAATTAAATAATATATACGTAAATAAAATATATTAAGAGCACCAATTAATTAAATGACAATGATAATTATTATAAAATAATTATACAATATAAAATATGAACACCTTAACAATTATTATAGATAAAAATAAACATAGGTTAAGCAAATAAATGAGGTTAGGGACACCTCACTAGATAAATGTAGCAAGAAAATAACATAAATAAATAACATAGTAGTAAATAAAATTTTAAAGGAACAAAGTTCTCCTCCCCCTTACCTTAAAATTGTAGATTTATCACTCGTATGCTGTGTTTTTTTTTCTTCGTTTCCGTTACTGCGAACTATTTGTTTCAGATTTATCACTCGTATGCTGTGTTTTTCTTTTTGTTTCCGTTACTGCGAACTATTGCAGCACTACTATTTATAGGAGGAGTTTTACCACTTAAAGTCCTTAAGCACAATGAGTGAAACCACTGAACCATTTTATTTTATGTGTCTATAACATCATGTAAATTTATAATAAGTTATTTCTCATGGACAATATTTATAATGTAATTAGTTAGCACACACACACACACACATTGGATATATATGTATTTATATATATATTTAAAATATTATTAAAAATATGAATTATAACTAATTCTAAAAATAATAATACAACCATTTTATTTATTTTAAATAAGGTAATTGAAATTTAAAAGAAGTATTATTTTAAGAATATTTATATATATATATAATATTAATAATGTTGTATTACAAATTTAGAATATTACAGATTGTGCGGAGTAATCAATTTTTTAGCTGTTGTGTTGCGGATCTCTTATTCCTCCTTTCTCATTTTGTTCAAGCTTCCTTTAATCTTCTTCTTCATCCTCCCTATCCCGAAGCTCGGATCTTTGGCCTGAGGTAAGGGAAGCTAGTAATTTTCTTTCTTTTGTCGCTGTTTTTGGCTGTGGATGAGTTCTAGAAACTCATTAGATGCTTATTGATGGTTGATTCGTGGCTGGGTTGAAAGAGAACTTGTTTTTGGGGGTTTCGGGGTTTTTGAGAAAATTTGGGGAAATCCTTGATTTGTTGTTGCATGTTGAAAAAGGTAGTATTTTTGGGCTCCTGGATGGAAATGTAATAATTTGAACCGATTGCATGTGGAGTTTTGCTGATTTTTCTGCAGATTCTTGAAGAGTTTTCAAAAATATGAGGTTTGCTGCTGAACTCGCGCTGGGCGCAGTTCTTCGCGCCGGACGCGTGGCCATCTGAAGGCAGCATTTAGGCAAGCTAGTCGGGCGCAAAGATGTGTGCCCCGGGCGGGCTTGAAAGTGTTAGCCTCTGGATGGCCCACGCTGGGCGCGATGTCAGTCGTGACTTGTTTTTGGGCTTCTAGCATGGCGCTGAGCGCGATTTTGGCTGCGCTTGGCGCGGGGACTCCTTGGAGTCTCCGCCATGGGAGGCGCCGGCGCAATTCAAATTGCGCTGGGCGCGAGACCAAGGGAGGTCTCTGCCTTCCCCGCGCTAGGCGCGGGTTTGGGCATGCCGGGCGTGTGAGACTCCTTGAAGGCTCTGCCTGGCATGCGCTAGGCGCAATTGGTTATTGTGTCAGGCGCGTGAGAGCCTTGGGCTCTCTGGATGAGTTTCGCCGGGCGCGGACATGCTTGCGCTGGGCGCGTTGGTCCCCTGGTGCCCTCGGGTTGCACTGCGCTGGGCGCAACCACGAGTGCGCCGGGCGCGGAGGTGAGATTTTAATATTTGATGGTTAATGATTATTTGATGATAAGTTGATTTGAAATAGATGAATATGATGTGGTGACTAATAGATAATGATGTTGATGATGTTGGGCTGTATTAGATGAATATTGTTGTAAGATGTGTTGATGTGTTGTAAAATGATGTGTTGTGTTGTGTTGTATGTTGGCTGAGTTGTTGTAGGCCGAAAGGCTGAGTTGTTATAGGCCGAAAGACTGAGTTGTTGTAGGCCGAAAGGCTGAGTTGTTGTAGGAGATCTCCGAGTTGATATGCGTGACGACGCATTGTATGCTTATGGATGAATTATGCTGTAAGGATTGACGGGATGCATATTGATGAAGTGTTGATAAATTGTAGTTGTTCTTATTACTTAAATCTTCCTATATGTGGTTTCTTTTTATGTTAGCTTACCCTTTTGTTGTTTTCCATGTGGTTGGACTGCAATGATCATACTATGTATGGGAGCAGAGCAGGGATAGGTGGTGTATCTATAGCTGGCAAGTGGAGCTAACTCCTTTTGATGCTTTGTTTGTTTTAGTCACTTGGCATAGTGGCTTTTGATGTAATTCTTGTATTGCACGTCCTAACTCTAGTCGGACTCGGGACAATTGTATATATTTATATTCTAGATCCTATATCTATATACCTGTTCTAATCTGTCTAGTGTTTCCGATGTGTTATAGTTGTGAGTGTAGTGGTCAGCCGGGTCGTTACAATTACGTACCTCGTTGAAGGTTTTTTTATACTAGTTGTTGTTGGGCCATGATTAGGGAATGAGCCCCGGAAAATTAGGAGGATAAACCGGTGTATTAAGTAAATTAATCTCGTCATAATTCACCTGACTTAACTCCGTGTCCTCGAGTATGAGAAACTAACTGGCCGAGTTGGCCGACCCCAATACGACCGGGTCGGCCAGGTCAGTTGCACTGGGTTGATTCGGTCCGGTCGGTCTTACTAATGTTTTCGGCCTAGTCGGCCATCCGGTACAAGGACAAAGAGAGAAGTATCTTAATTTTCAAACTATTGCTCAATTAGTTAAATATTTCGTTGCATATTTTCATGTTGCATCACTGTTCAAATTAATCAAATAATTGGAAAACATATGGGGAAGAAATTGTTGACCATCTTCAAAGTGATGAGCTTAGGCAAAGAAGATAAAGAAACTAACAAAAAAAATCTATAATTTAATAATATGGGTGTTACAGTATATTTAATTATCCTATTGACATTGAAGAAATTTCTATACGTTTTTGTGAATAGGAGAGCGAAAGTAACCTTGTTTGACACACATTTGACATTTGAAAACACCCAAGTGTGTATGTTCCTTCAATCTCAATATTTTCAGCACCTAAACTTCGATCCCACCAACCGTTTGTTGCAAAGGGTGCTTTATAAAAGTGCTTAAAACCCAAGCAAACTACGAAACCATGCACTCGAGGGATTGAAAATGTTGGTAACAAAAGTTAAAACACTAGCAGTTTTCAATTCCTTCAACCACCCCATGTCATTGATTGATCGCAGGATCCAATCCCTCTTCCCAATTGTGTTGTATTCAATTCTAATCCTAGGAAGTGCAAGGTTGGTCCTAGATAGTTTGAAGATCCACCATAGCCTTGTTTTGAGGCTCTATGGCATGCCCTATGGTGGAAGAAGTGGATTACCAGTTGTGGTTTTGCCAGAGGATCGCATTGGGGAAGATTGCAATGTGTTTGAAGGGACATGGGTTTGGGACAATGTGTCCTATCCTCTTTATGAAGAAGAGAGTTGCCCTTACTTGGTTAAGCAAACCACTTGCCACAAGAATGGGAGACTTGATTCTTTCTACAAGAATTGGAGGTGGCAGCCTAATGGATGCAACCTCCCCAGGTAAGCAAGTTTTGTTTACTGTTTTTGCATATGATTACGAGTAAATAATATATGCATTGAAAGAATAAAAAAAAGGTTATTTTTATAATTAAGAAACATAACTTTCTTTTGCTGAATCAGTTCACTATAAAGGGTAGAGTACTTTTTTAGTTTTGACTTCATGTTTAAATTAGGGATCAAACTCAAATCTTTACTTAAAGAACATAAGTACTGCATCAATTGTGTTAACAACATCTGGTAATGAGTGTATCTACTTAAACTTAAAAATAAGTATTCTTAAACAAGTTTTTTTAAAAAAATCAATTCTTTAAGGAAGAAATAGGAATAAAAAAGTAGAAAATTATTTATTTTAAAGAAAAAAAATTTAGACAAACACATCAAAAAATTAAAAAAAAATGTTTATTTATTAAAAAAATGCTTTTAGAAGAACCTTTTTTTTTTAAACAAATAGACGCATAAAGAGTAATACTATTATCTAATCACAAATTGTTATATATGATAAGTTTGTTGATTTTTACAATAAATAATTTCAAAGTTATATCAATCATGATTTATGATTGATTGAGAGTGTAAGTTTATTTAACGTTATACAGAAATTAAACTCTTTAAATACAGGAAACAAAGTAAAAAAAAAAAAAATTAGTGTTTTGCAAATTATATGTGTAAACAAAACAGTTTCTCAAAACATACAATCAAGTTTTATTTAGCCAACAAATTTTTTAAAATTATTTTTCTTCTCCCTTCTAGTTGTTAAAAAAAAGCATATAGATAAAGCTATTGCATGTTTCTAGAGTAATCAAATAAACAGGGCGTTATGGTTAAAATCTTTTGATTCACTTGAATAGGATTCTACATGGATCTGAAAAATTTCCTTGATTTTTAGTGACATGGAATAGTGAGACTGTTCTGTTCTTCTTGAATTCAGATTTGACGCTTTGAAGTTGTTGCACATGTTGAGGGACAAGAGAATGATGTTTATTGGAGACTCGTTACAAAGAGGCCAATTTGAGTCTATGATCTGTCTGATACAATCAGTAATTCCTGAAGGAAAGAAATCCCTCCAAAGAATTCCTCCAATGAAGATCTTCAAAATTGAGGTATGTCAATACACGCCTCTCATCTATTTAAACACCAAGCTTAGACATACTACTTCATTATATCTTACATAGCTTTTGAAAAATTGCTTAATGGTGAAATGGGAGCAAATCCCAAAATTCGTTCCCAAGAATTTTTATAATATACATATCAATTATTAAAAAAGTAAAAAAAAAAAAAAAAAAATCTTATCACATGAATCAACTAGTAAGAATTGTTCTAACTTAAATAGTAGTCTTGAATTCAAGTTTTGAGTATGCAACTTTGCTAAATATTTAGAGAAAGAATTCAAAAATTAATAGAATGTTAAGACGTATGTAAAACAAAGTTGATTTATTTTTTACAATCATTGTTAAGTTGTTTAATATCACTTTAATATTTTCTCATAAAAGGTTTATGATAGATAGATGTATGAAATCTTAAATTCGATTCTCATATTATGGTTGTAATCTTTCTTGCTAATAAAAAAACATGGTCTAATATGGCCAAGTGGCCAACATTCATAAGTTTTAAGGATCAACATGCAATTTTTGTATATTATCATGAATTAATATGTCTAATCCTAATTTTTTCAAAATTGAATTTGAGGTTTTCACTCTCGTAAAGTCAAAATTTCTAAGATTTTCTGTAGCTTTGTTTTTCTAGGAGTTCAATGCATCGATTGAGTACTATTGGGCTCCATTCATTGTGGAATCCATTTCAGATCATGCAACAAATCACACGGTACATAAACGAATGGTCAGACTAGACTCCATAGATAACCATGGCAAACATTGGAAAGGAGTGGACTTTTTGGTGTTCGAGAGTTATGTTTGGTGGATGCACAAACCTTTGATCAATGCTACGTGAGTATTCAAATGCTGAATGTAGTTGAATGTTCATACTTCATACTTCATAGCATAGTTTCATTGTATTGAATTGGTTTGAAACATTTTCTCTTTTGTTTCAGATATGGATCGCCACACCAAGTCAAAGAATATAATGTTACCACAGCTTATAAATTGGCTTTGGAAACATGGGCAAATTGGTTAGAATCTAACATAAAACCGCTGACTCAGAAGGTGTTTTTCATGAGTATGTCTCCTACACATCTGTGGTGAGTTATCACATTTCTTTTCTCTGCAAAAATCTTAGAGCAGTTTATTTTATCATGTTTTGATCGAGTTTAATAGGTTTGTCATCAATGTATACAAGTTTATGCGGTCAATCAATTCAAAAAACATGGTCAATAAATTTTTCATTTATAGTAACATTATAAAATCATTTAACAGTGTAAGAGTTGTTTGGAGTGGAAAATTAAATGGAAAAATGGATGACAAACAACAAACAGTTATTAAAGCAAATATAGCTAGCTCATTCAAGCTCGGTTTCCTTTAATTGTATCTTGACCATTCCCATAACCGACAACTGATTTTCATTCTTCAGGAGCTGGGAATGGAAACCTGGCAGCAATGAAAACTGTTTCAATGAGTCACACCCAATCCAAGGTCCATACTGGGGTACAGGCTCAAATCTTGAGATTATGAAGATATTACATGATGCACTACAAGTACTGAAAATAGATGTCACCCTTTTGAACATCACACAATTATCCGAGTACAGAAAAGATGCTCACACATCAGTTTATGGGGAGAGAAAAGGCAAGCTCTTGACAAAAGAACAGAGAGCCAACCCAAGAGATTTTGCTGATTGCATTCACTGGTGCCTACCTGGAGTCCCTGATGCATGGAATGAAATCTTATACGCATATCTGTTCAAGAATTACCAAAACTTCTCATGAAGTGGGCAAAGAAACCATGAGAAAAAGCATAAGCATCTCCCAAATTGGGGTGGGGTTGGGGGGCACTCATACTTTTCATCAGTGCATCATTATATTTCATTTAGAATCCATCACTTTTTGTAACTCAAACAGAAATAGACTAACTAACTATTTTTTTTGGCCCATGGACATAATCCAACAAAACTAATGATCAAGGACTATCTTGTGCTTGCAAAATGTAACTTTAAATGGTCAAACATTATTTAACATTGCAGGAATCGATTTGGAAATACCAGGTCAACTCCCCATGTCCTGGCAAAAGCCTTGCAACTATTATGCCAAGATTAATTAACTATAAATATGAAGTAGATAGCAATTAGATTCCAAGGATAACATCTTTCAGCTTGAGAAAGAATATATATATATATATATAATTTTAATAAATAAATAAAAAACACACACACACACTTTTCAAAGAACCAATGCGTTATTGACAATCATGACCCAAATAATTTATTATTGGCGTGTTCTTCATGGAAACCTAAACAATGTAATTTTCAGCAAGTACTGCCACCTCCAACATGTACATTGGTAAAAATAAGAGAGCCAAATCTATTGGTCCATCATTATGTACATGCAGCCTAATTGTATTTACAGCAGCTCCCACTCAGTTTCAGAAGCTTGCTGCACTTGCAAATTCTTTGAGTCCATATACTTTCTGGAGCCAAAAGGCAATAAAATTTGTGAAGAACCTTGACTGGGTTCAATATCAGTGTCTCCATACCATATCGCTAGCTGTTCATACTCCTTTGCTAACCTCTTCTTTGAAGCAAATGCATCCTTGATTCTTTTCTGTTGCAAGAAAGAAGATAATAATGGTACATGCAATATTTCTTAATTTTCCTAGAAGCATAACTTGTTTTCTAAAGAAAGAACTTTGCTTCCTCCTTCTACCCTTTTGTAAAAAAGGTTTAATACATCATTAAGTCCCTAAACTTTTTTGAAAATTTTCAATTAAGTTCGTAAACTAAAAAAATAATTCATGTAGTTAGAAATTCATTTACAATCTGTGAAATTTTATAAAATATTCTTGTTATTCACATACTTGGACAACCATATTAGATTATTATGTCGTATCATCATCTACATGTATAAAGAATATTTTTTGAAGTTTGATGAATCGGAAGCAAAATTCTAACCCTAGGGATTAAATTTCAAAAATACAAAAAAAATGAAGGACCTAATTACAAAAAAAAAATTAATTTAGGAACTTAATTAAAAAATGCTAAAAATTTTAAGGACTGAATAATGTATTAACCGATAAAAAAAAACACATGGAATCAAGGGAGATATATCAAAGCAACTACATTTTCTTCTGCAGTGAAAAATAACTACAACTCTTATATAGTAGCAGTGGTGTTAGATGGAATCTACAGAATTGTTATAGTTCTATGCATAAACGCATAAAAATACAAAAATATCGAGTTGTCTAATAGGTTTACCCATTGAAATGCAAAATTAAAGAGGACAAGAAGAGTACCTTGTATGATCTAAGCTTTTGGGCTCTAGAGGAGACTGCATAGAGTTCACTATCATCCACAAATACACAGCTTTGCTCAAGCTTCAGATCACAGCTTTCCTCAAGCTTCAGATCACAGCTTTCCTCAAGCTTCGGATCATCATTCAACTGAATGTCTTCCAAAATGGATTCAATAGAACTGGCCAGTGATTTATCTGAACAAGAAAAAGCCAGATTAGATAGGTGATAATACACTTCCATGAAACATTTAAAATCATTAATTATAACATCCAAAGTAAAATTTATGTTCTTATTTTTATTTTTCTCTCCTCTTGTACACGATCTTACGTATTTTACCTCCTTTTATTTGAATTTACCCAAAAATAAAATATTGACAAAACACTAATGAAACTGGTAAATATGCATGCATATCCACATAATGTATTTGGGCATGATTAAGATAGACATGACCATATCAAAAACGGGGAGAACATCAGGGAAAAAACAACTTTAAGCAAACATATTCTTGAAAACATTTCACTTGTTAAAAAGTAAGAGCTTCCGTTTTACTGAAGTGATTTTGTGATCTGGATTGCAGAAATACAATTTCTAGTAATGCAATTTTGACAATAATATACTCTTTCCATGAATCAAGACTGTAGGCAATTGACAAACATCTGAACCTAAAACCTAACTACCATAACCAATTAATCCAAAAGTGAGAATATCAACTCCAACAAAATAATGGTAACCGGAAATTAATAAAACCTATTTGCTACTCCACTCTCCACCATCAGACTATAGCAAAAACACCAAGTTTCCCACAGTTGTGCATGCAGCATACCAGAAAGCTAAAAACCCATATAGTGAAAAATCTAGCTATTTTTTCTTAATATTTTATCAAGAGTTCAAATTTTTTTAATCAATAAACTCCCCCCTATTCACTTATTATAAGACACTTACAAACTACAACAGGATTACACAAACTAATAATCTAATATAAGTAGTTATGTTAGTTAATTTATTGGTTTTATAAATCAAAATCATGATGTACGAATTTTACTTTGCTTTCTTATCATTAAATTGTCATAGGAGAGGTAAAGATATCACTTCATATCAAAGCTCATGCACCAATGCCAATAAATGACAATGCAATAACTCAAGAGGCGAAAGAAAGAACATTTATTTCTCATATTCTCTTCTCATTATTCAACAAAGAAACACATATACTCAAGAGGTAAGAGAAAGAACATTTATTTCTCATACTCTCTTCCCATTATTCAAAAATAAGAAACATGTACAAACAATCTTTAATAGGGACAAAAGATGAAAAATAAAATTAATGCTTTATAGAAATTGTAAAATGCCCTATAAAAAATACCAAATTTTTTTTTTATAAATTGTGCCTTTTAATAAAGATCAGAGGGAGTAATATTTTACACAATCATTTAATATGACTAGATCTGATAAGTATATGATAACCCTGCCTTGAACAGAACATATCTATCATGCCAGATTCTAGATGAATTACCCAAAGATTGATTCATTGACCTTGCAAGTATCGCCCTATTTAAAACCACATAGTTTATCTAAAAAATGAAAGAAAAAGTTGACATAAATAAAAATTTTAAGATACCAACCATCTGATCCCATAGATTGACAGTAGCCAGAGAAACCAAAGCCATCCAGGGATTCCATGACATTTCCAGCTACATGGGGGGAAGATTCACAACATAAATGAACCACAGAACTATCTGAAATACAGAGACTAGCATCACCTGAATTGTTTTGGCAACATTCAATTTCAAAGGAGTAGCTTCGTAGTGGTTTTGAATATAGACTGTCAGAAGCTAAGGTACTTTTGAAGCATAAAGGTTCTGTCTTTGTGACAGGACTCTCACATGAAACAGAATCATTAGGTGAAACTTCATCCAATATACAATGTGTAGCCTCGTAAACAACATCGGACGATTCACTGAACAAGGAGACTTTAATAGATTCTTCCTCATCAAGAGACTGGGAACTTGACAATTGGGAGGTGGATGAATTCATAGAAATTTCCTCAACAATCAAACATGAATTTTGTCCTGCATTCACATCTACGTTATCCTTTGTTCTGATCAAAACTTCACATCCACTGTCCAAAGAATCAGAATTAGATTCACTATGTATAGGGAATTCAAGAGATCCTTTCTCTCTAACAGATATCAAGTCCATGTGTTTAGGCACAGGCTCAACAGCAACCTCTTCAATGCTTGTATGCAAGTTTTCTTTCTTATCAGCCCCAGAAGTTTCACTTGAATCATCACCAACCTCTTCTTGAGTTATATAAGAGTCTCCCACCTCCGGGGAATCATAGCAAGTTTCAACACTAACTTCATTTACAAGGTTTTGCTTGATAGGAACACCAGCTTGCTGATTATTATTAATATCAATTGCATTAGAATTCTGTAACGGCTTAATAAAATTATTGATGGGATTTTCCTCGTCCCTTTTATTATTATTATCTTTATGACCAGGAGCTGAAAAGCCAGTGTTATTTGTCAAATCTACTGAATGAGATTCATATTTTGAACCGGCCAAGGTAGGAAAAGGAAGTAGATCATTTACAACTCCAGAATAGAACTTTTTAACATTGTCTCCAACATTCTGGACATGATTCTCAAGATATTTAACTGCATCCTGAATCCAACCAATAAAGAGGAAATAAAAACAATACTTAAAGATCGTAATGTAGCCAACCTCAAACATGAAATATACCAGTAAAAGAAACTGAGCATAGATCAAAGCAACAAGTGGAATACTGGAATGAAAAGTTCAGCAACCGGAGGTTCTTTAAACCACCCAAGGTTTGAAATCCTTTAATTATATAGAAACTGAAAGGCAATCACTTGAAAATCCTATACAATTGATAGATTACACTTTACAAATCCTCAAATATAACAACACAATTATTTGTAAGAGTCTGATTTGATAAAAATTAGAAGTACTTTTGAGAATTTCTTTACTAAAAATAAAGAGTATTTTTCTGTAAAGAAGCTCTTAATAGCATTTCTAAGTTTGTAACCAAACAAACTCTAAAATGAATTGAATTCTTAAATTAATATTGCTCAAAACAAGGTTCCAAATTTTGAATGAAATTAAAAAAAAAAAAATCTATTTTTGAGATTCCAAATACAAAGTAAAGCAAAGGTAAGAAGGGAACCAAAACAAAAAGAAAAATAGAAAAGCAATAATGAAATAGTACCTGGCTTACAATATCATCCACCTCCTGGCACACTGCTTCAAACTTCTGATAAATATTCCCCACCCAGTTTATATTTTGAAAATTCAAATCCATGATGAACTTGTAACACTACCAGTGCCGGGACTACAGCTCCAAATCCTCAGGTTCATCAAAATGGCATTTCAATCCTAGATAAAGCTGTAACAACAGCGGAAGAAAGATCTCAAACTTAATAAACAAACAGTTATACACACACACAAAAAAAAAAGGTATTAGCCAAACAAACTGTCTTTACAGGATAATATACATACAAGATGGTGCATCATAAAGAAAAACAAAATCAATCCAACACTTCAAAAATTCAGTGAAAATAAGTGCATAACAAGCACCACAAGTTTCTCCTATAAAGTCAATTCCCGCAATCCTTTCACCTAGCAATAAAAAAACCCCAACTCTTACATTATAAAGCCAATTAAGCATGTACCAACACAATTCCATTGAATTTCAAATTTCCATACAAACTTTTGTGGCTTATTCTAGCATATAAACATTCCATACTACTTCAATCAAACATTGTTTGATTCAGAAGTTACTAACATAAGCCCATCCTCCATACTAGCAGTCGTTAATCTAGCAACAGAAAATCAAGCCCGGTTACACTGGTCTGCAAATTACATACTTATGGAAAAATAATAACAACAATAATCCATGGAATACCCAACTCCCTCTATCACTATATTATGATAATGGAACCATCAGAACCAGAGAAGAGTTTAAAAAGCGAGTCTCCAAAAAAGTGATTTTTTTAAAATGCAAATAAGAGTTGTTTCTTAACTTCTGATTTTTTTTTTCTTAAAACACACAAGACAAACACAAACAAATAAATAAAAAGTATAAAAAAAAAATGCTTACTTTATTAAAAAAAAACACTTTTTTTAAGAAAAAAAAAACTAAACAAAAGGCCTAATAAACAAATAAGTTCTAAAATGTTCAGTACATGCATGATGCATATGTTCTTACTATGTCACACAAAAGTGATCAAAATATGCAGAGCACTGATTGACAACAAAAACGAAAAGGGTGAGCGAAAGATGAAAACTTTAACGCACCCAGAAAGGCCGTGATCAATTTTTACTTAGAACCGATATATGGGTCGTGAATTGTGATCATAGAATCCAATTGTGGTGAATTATGAGATAAGGAGCAAACGAAGAAACGATGATCAGCGACCGGCAACGCACATAGCCGGTGACTGGGCAAGCGCAGCTGAGAGGCAGAGAAGGGCTGTTCTGAGTTTGAGGATGAGGAGAAGAATCGGAGGGTTTAAGTGCGAAAGCAACCCTCACTCACTCTAATGTGATTTTTTTGTTTTTTAAATTACAAACCAATTTCGGTTACGATTATCAATAATACTATTATATGGTAACAAAATATTTTACTAGACAAATATCATTAGCAAACAGCAATTTAGCTTCACCATTTTTATCTTCTTCTTTCCTGTATTTTTTTAATTTTCTCTATTTTTAATTCATAATATAAACCTTAAATGAGTTTTATTTTACATAAAATGTTAATTAGTTTATTAACTTTTATGAATTTTCTAATTATGGTTGCTTTTTATTATTATCAGAATCTTATAATAACTTACCATAAATATATTATAATAATGAGTGATTCATGTAGAAGTTTTAAATAACGGGAGTAATGTTCATATAAAAATTTATAATATTAAATATATAATTTTATATTTTTAAAATATATAAAAAATATTAAATTATTTTTTATGAGATTTTTTATTATAAAATTATTAAATATTTTTTTATTTTCAATATTTTCAAAAATATTTCTCTAATTAAACGATTATTTAACTATTTATATCCATATTAAAGTTGACATTTTTCTTTTTTAAAAATAGTATAATATAGGTTTAGGTCATCCATCACTTCTTAATAATCTTGTTACTAACTTAATTTAATTATAATTAGTATTCTCTTCATCTTATAATGAGTATTGTTCTGAGATGTTTTACACAAACCAAGAAATTTTATAATCAGTCTTCTTTATTATAAATAATGCTATACAATAGTCACTCTATGAAGAATATTATAAAAGGTATAAATAAATAATAATAATTAGTACTATATTAAAAATTTAATATAATAATTATTTTGAAACTTATTATTTCTTTAAACACAACACTAATTATGAGATAAACGGAGTATTATGTATGTTATAAAAGAATAGTTCAAAAAATTAATATATTAACTTGATCAATTCTTACAAAATAAAAATTCAGTAGAGTGAAAACACTTAATTTTAAACATGAAAAGTGAAAACATATTATAATATATATAGAGAGAGAGGAGGGTTATAATTACACCGGTGTAACTTTTACTAAGTATTATACCGCTTAATAACTTTATATTAAATATGAATTTTGTAAATTCAATCATATTAGATTGAAAGTTTATATCACTTTATATGTATATATCAAATTTAGTTAAAATTGAACAAGAACTTAAAAGTAATCAAAGTGTTCATATTTTAGTATATTTTAAAATGTATATATTACGTCAATTTTATTTTATAAGGATGAAGTATCAAATCATCTTAGATTAATATAAAATTTTATATATATAATCTGATAATAAAAAACTTTCAATCTAACAGTTGAATTTACAAAATTCACAATTAATATAAAATTATTATGCGGTATAATACTTAATAAAAGTTGCACCAGTATTATTATAACCCTTCTCATATATTAACATTAAATATCAAAAAAGTCGGTGGAGATTTTCCCCTCTTTAATATGAATTTGTCCCCTATAATAACTAACATAATATATATATATATATATAT